CGCAGACTGTTCTTGTGTTCATCGACATACGGGGTCACCAAGGTAGAGTTCTGTAGAACTGTGTAGTGTGCTTGAGACCAAGAATATCCGTCCTTGCATATTATTGAGTCCCTTCCAAGCGTGCCTTTTCCAGTCAGTCTCCCCTCATACCGCGATTTAGGGAGACCTATCTTCTTAAGGCCAGGAATGAAGTCAACACAAAACCCAATGACATCCTCTGTTTGATGGCCCATGGAGATGCTTCCTTCTGGCCTAGCACGGTTACGAACGTATTTCTTTAGGACTCCCATGAACCTCTCAAAGGGGTACATATTATGTAGAAATACGGGCCCCAGAATGACAATCTCGTTGACTAGATGAACTAGGACGTGCGTCATGATATTGAAGAAGGATGGTGGGAACACCAGCTCGAAACTGACAAGACATTGCGCCACATCACTCCTTAGCGTTGGTACGATTTCTGGATCGATTACCTTCTGAGATATTGCATTGAGGAATGCACATAGCTTCACAATGGCTAGTCGGACGTTTTCCGGTAGAAGCCCCCTCAATGCAATCGGAAGCAGTTGCGTCATAATCACGTGGCAGTCATGAGACTTTAGGTTCTGAAACTTTTTCTCTGGCATATTTATTATTCCCTTTATATTCGACGAGAAGCCAGTCGGGACCTTCATACTGAGCAGGCATTGAAATAATATTTCTTTCTCTTCTTCCGTAAGAGCGTAGCTGGCAGGACCTTCATACTGCTTCGGAGGCATGCCCTCTTTTTCCTGCAAGCGTTGCAGGTCCTCTCGTGCCTCAGGTGTATCTTTTGTCTTCCCATACACGCCCAAGAAGCCTAGCAGGTTCACACAAAGGTTCTTCGTCACGTGCATCACGTCGATCGAAGAGCGGACCTCTAGGTCTTTCCAGTAGGGTAGGTCCCAAAATATAGATTTCTTCTTCCACATGGGTGCGTGATTCTCAGCGTCATTCGGAACAGCTAGTACGCCGGGACCCTTTCCAAAGATTACGTGTAAATCATTGACCATAGCAAGTACGTGATCACCAGTACGCATGGAGGGCTTCTTCCGGTGATCTGCCTCGCCTTTGAAATGCTTGCCTTTCTTTCGACATTGATGGTTGGTCGGAAGAAATTGACGATGGCCCAGGTACACATTCTTCCTGCAGCTTGCCAGGTATATACTATCGGTGTCAAGTAAACAGTGCGTGCATGCGTGGTATCCCTTGTTTGTCTGTCCTGAAAGGTTACTGAGAGCGGGCCAATCGTTGATGGTCACGAACAGCAACGCCTTTAGGTTAAATTCCTCCTGTTTGTGCTCATCCCACATACGTACACCGTTTCCATTCCACAGCTGTAAAAGTTCTTTAACTAATGGCCTTAGGTACACATCAATGTCGTTGCCGGGTTGCTTAGGGCCTTGGATGAGAACTGGCATCATAATGAACTTCCGCTTCATGCACATCCAAGGAGGAAGGTTATACATACATAGAGTCACGGGCCAGGTGCTGTGATTGCTGCTCTGCTCCCCGAAAGGATTAATGCCATCCACGCTTAAAGCAAACCATACGTTCCTTGGGTCCTTTGCAAACTCAAACCAGTACTTTCTCTCAATTTTTCTCCACTGCGACCCGTCAGCGGGTGCTCTCAACTTCCCGTCTTTCTTACGGTCCTCACTGTGCCATCGCATCAACTTGGCATGCTCTCCGTTTCTGAACAGACGTTTCAACCGTGGTATTATAGGAGCATACCACATCACCTTCGCAGGAACCCTCTTCCTGGGAGGCTCGCCGTCAACATCACCAGGGTCATCTCGTCTGATCTTATACCGCAATGCACCGCATACCGGGCATGCGTTCAGATCCTTGTAGGCACCGCGGTAGAGGATGCAGTCATTAGGGCATGCATGTATCTTCTCAACCTTCAATCCTAGAGGGCATACGACCTTCTTTGCTGCGTATGTACTGTCGGGCAATTCGTTATCCTTTGGAAGCTTCTTCTTCATTATTTTTAGTAGCTTCTCAAATCCTTTATCAGGCACAGCATTCTCTGCCTTCCACTCCAGCAATTCGAGTACGGTACCGAGCTTTGTGTTGCCATCTTCGCAATTGGGGTACAACCCCTTTTTGTGATCCTCTAACATGCGATCGAACTTCAGCTTCTCCTTTTGACTTTCGCATTGTGTCCTTGCATCGACAATGACCCGGCGGAGATCATCATCATCGGGCACATCGTCTGGTTCCTCTTGATCTTCAGCAGCTTCGCCCGTTGCAGCACCATCGTGCACATCGTCTGGTGCATCTTGATGTTCAGTAGCATCACCGTATTCAGGGGGCACATAGTTGTCATCGTACTCTTCTTCCTCGCCGTCTTCCATCATAACCCCTATTTCTCCGTGCCTCGTCCAAACATTATAGTGTGGCATGAAACCCTTGTAAAGCAGGTGGGTGTGAAGGATTTTCCGGTCAGAGTAAGACTTCGTATTCCCACATATAGGGCATGGACAACACATAAAACCATTCTGTTTGTTTGCCTCAGCCACTTCGAGAAAATCATGCACGCCCTTAATGTACTCGGAGGTGTGTCTGTCACCGTACATCCATTGCCGGTTCATCTGCGTGCATTATATATAATTAAGTGTGTCAAAAATCATTAAGAACATCATGAATAGATAATTAAGTGACCAAATTAATAGAAGTTCATCATCACATAAAAACCAAAGTAGATACATAGTTCTCATCTAACAACATAAAGCTCTGCAGAGCATCTAAATTAATTAAACCATACATTGAAACTATGTAAAACATTTCAATGCGAAAACAAATGCGATCATAATCGCAACCAAGGTAACAACTGATCCAACGGCATAATGATACCAAGCCTCGGTATGAATGGCATATTTTCTAATCTTTCTCATCTTCAAGCGCATTGCATCCATCTTGATCTTGTGATCACCGACGACATCCGCAACATGCAACTCCAATATCATCTTCTCCTCCTTAAGTTTTTTTATTTTTTCCTTCAAGAAATTGTTTTCTTCTTCAACTAAATTTAACCTCTCGACAATAGGGTCGGTTGGAATTTCCGGTTCAACAACCTCCTAGATAAATAAAATCTATGTCACGTTGGTCGGCATAATTTTCATAAACAACAAATGAACCAATAGTTATGAAAAGATAATATATACCACATCCGAATCATAGACAGGACGAGGGCCGACGGGGGCGGATACCAAAACCATCGGCGCACTATATAAGATGCAATAATAAAAGTAAGAAAATAATACAAGTATCTATCTAAACAAACAAGTAATAATATTTTTCCTTTCAGAAAGAAGATAAGAACAAGAGGCTCACCACGGTGGTGCCGGCGATGAGATCGGCGCGGGTGATCGACGGCGGTGAAGACGGGGACGGGGCGTGACGGACCGCTAAACCTAGATAAATATTGAGGAAAATGGAGCTTGGCGGTCGAGCTTGGAGAGGAGAAACCTTAAGTAGTGTGGCTCGGGCATTCCATCGAACACCTTGTGTGCATAGGAGGTGAGCTAGAGCACCACCAAGCCCTCTCCCCCTCGGCCAGAAAAAACAGAGCAGTGTGCTCTGCTCTTGCGCGAGGGGCTATATATAGGCAGCACCATTGGTCCCGGTTTGTCCCACCAGCCGGGACCAAAAGGTCCGGACGAACCGGGACCAATGGCCCACGTGGCCCGGCCGGCCCCCTGGGCTCACGAACCGGGGCAAATAGCTCCATTGGTCCCGGTTCTGGATTGAACCGGGACTAATGGGCTAAACTGGCCTGGACGAAAGCCCTGTTTTCTACTAGTGAACTGAACTAGTACTGCATGTCATTTGTTGTTACTGCAGTAAATTAGCATTTTTTTTAGCAAAGTAATGTTACTGCAGTATTCTTGTGGTCGCTTTTAGCTGTCAGTTTTTCTTATTGAAGATTATTTATACTTGTTGGCAAGATTATGAATGCAAATTCATGTTCTTGTAGTAATATAATCCTATTAAATCTGTTCATATCAGTAGAGCTAAACCATCTTTTATTACATAGTAGTATTTCAGAAGGAAATCGTTTACTGGCATCTTTTTGGGTGGTGACAACCAAAAAGTGCCGGAGACAGAATTTTTATCCTCCTGTCGAGGGCGCGGTACTTGCGAGATGACGTGGTGCACCACAATGGCAATGCTAAGATCAAAGATTCAGCAGCCAGCCTTCTTGAAGAATTCCTGGAACGGTCTTGGGGCTCGTCTCCCTGTTACGGATTGGACCGCTGATCGATCATTGAGTCTGATTGTTCGAGAAAATAGTAGAGAGAGCAACCGAGTAGCACATGAGCCCTCTCATTTGATACCCCTTTGGTGAAAGTGATTGCAACCTGATGATTCCCAATTAACATGAGCTCTCTTTTACCCCTAACAGAAATCAAATTTATCAAGAAATAAAGAAGGGTAGGTAGAAGCTGCAAACGTGTAGTGAGGCAGAGTGAAAAAAATGCTCGACGGAGAGAAGAGAAGGATAAAAAAAAGCGTCGACAGCAGGATTCGAACCTGCGCAGGCAAAGCCCAACAGATTTCGAGTCTGTCTCCTTAACCACTCGGACATATCGACCTTTTATGCCATTCGTGCAAACTAATCTTATTTACCACAGGACGTGTCACATCCACACTGGGTGAAACCAATATGCCCAAATCCAAACAGATGGTGCAGTTCAGCAGCTAAACAATAGGGCAAATCAACAGGAAATTCTTTTTCTGTACACTGTTAATTCCTGGCTACCAAAATTTGAGGGGTAAAAAAAAAGGTAATAAGACTTTTACACTGAATCCGGTGTGGACATTCTTACACTGAATTTGTGCACACATTCTTCCACTAGTCACCACTAGTTACAGGGATTGAATTGTGATACCCTCGAACTAAAATCCAGGTGCTGCAACAGTCTCGATAAACAAAACGGCACACTGGGAAGCCCTCTTCGTAACAGATTCTGCATCTAACGAGGAAACTCTGATGAAGCTGCCATCTCTTGCTCCATGGAGTAGCACCTCGTGAGAGCCTGCGACGACGAATTAACAGCGACGACGCCAAGCTCAACGTTCTTGGCCATGGCCACAGAAGTGGATCTGGACTTCATTGGAGTTGACAACAATGGCTTGGTGTCGCCGTCCCTTCGCAGCTCCTGTTCGTGTGTTCTACGAGGTCGTCTCCTGGCTCGCAGAAGCTGCAGCCTTAACTCCACCTCTTTCATCTTAGGCCTCTGCCCGCCTCTAGTCCTCAAGCACATCACGGCGACCGACGCGATCTCGTCGATCTCGCTCTGGCTGGCCTCGTCCACAACTTGAGAATCGATAATATCCATGACGGTTTCGTCTTTCAGCCGTCCAAGGAAGTAATGGCACAAGTTCTGTTGCTCGCCGAGACTGTTGAGAAAAATTGGCTTCTTCCTTGTTAAGAGCTCGACCAGTATCACGCCGAAGCTGTAGACGTCGCTCTTCTCGGTGAGCTGCCCAGTGTAGTAGTACTCCGGGTCTAGGTAGCCGAATGTCCCCTGCACGATGGTGACCACGTGAGTCTGGTCGATGGAGATGGACCTGGAGGCGCCGAAGTCCGAGACCTTGGTGGTGAAAGTGTCATCCAATAGTATGTTGGCAGACTTCACATCCCTGTGGAAGATCGGCATCGCGGCAGACGAGTGGAGGTAGGCAAGCGCCCCTGCAGCCTCCAGAGCAACCCTGATACGGTCGTCCCACGTCAGCAAGCATTTGGCACCCTGGTCGCCGTGGAGGAGGTCATGGAGCGTGCCGTTGGAGATGAACTCGTACACGAGAAGCGGCACCTCGGACTCGAGGCAGCACCCGAAGAGCTTCACCACGTTGCGGTGGATGATCTGGGACAGGATGGACACCTCGTTGACGAACTGGTCGATCTCGCTCTGCTCCACCATCTTGGACTTCTTGATGGCCACCACCCGCTGGTCGGATAAAATCCCCTTGTAGACGGTGCCATGGCCTCCGTGCCCGAGCACACGCGTCGGGTCAAAGTTGTTGGTTGCTTTCTCTAGCTCTTCCAAGGAAAATATCCTTGTGCTGTGAGTGACGCTTTCACTGGTGGATGAGATCAGCTGCTCCAGGAGCAGGCCTTTGTTTTTTCTGAAGAATGCCCTTCGGATTTTCCTTTGAGCGCCTCTCTTCAATCTCCTCACTAGTATAATCGCACCCAGTGCAAGAGCTAGCACTCCAAAACCACTGCCGATCCCAGTAGAAACCCCTACATGAGTAATTGCAACAGATGAAGATTTGTTTTATTTTTCTGAAAATTGGGAATGCACAAGACAGCGAACAGCACTGACATACCCAAAATAAGATTTTGCCGCTTATCGGGAGTGCACTGTTTTCCTACTGGATCAAAGAACATGCCATGAGGGCAACAACGGAAGCTTCCTTTCAGGTTATAGCATGTCCCATTACAGCTATTGGGTAACAGGCACTCGTCAATATCTGCAAGCAGAATACTAAAATGTAAACTGGAGTGGGTGATATGTCATTTTGTATTTCTATTTGCTTTCTACCTACTAAACACTTGTTAATATCAGCAAACAACATATATAAAATTATACAGATAGCATGCCACTCATGAAAATTCCATGTTAAAGCTCCGTATTTCTGCATACCATAAAACAGAATACGCTAAAATACAAGAGCACATACCTGTGCATCCACTTTGGACATAAGGATTTCCTTCAAAGCCAGGAGAGCACTTGCATCGGTAACCAATGTAGAGTTTTCCATGTGTGACACCAATACACTCACTATTCGCGCTACGGCATGCATATGCACTGTCGTTTTTTGCATTTTCACATGTCAGATTGGCCGCAGACCACCTCCAGACACCAAATTCCTCAGATAAATCAGACTTATCCAATCCATATACTAGCTGCTGACCAAAGTATCCGGAGCCACCGTAGTATATTGATAGATAATTCATGTTGGCATCTTCAAACTCTGAAAGCTTATTAACATATAGCAGTCCATCATCTAATGAAATATTTGTCACTTCATATTTTACAGGTGGCCTGCCAATAAGAGTGCGATTGGATGCGCAATTCAGTTGAAATCTCCTGGTAGCATAACACCCTGGTTCAAACCCAAAGGGGAAAGGAATGTTTGTGCTACCACATGATCTAGAACAGTTCATTTTGGGGGTATGATTATACTCTGTTTCAGTGAAGAAATATCAGTAACCAATCATATGTAATGAGATAACAATCAATGGACAAATGAAGCACTTTATACACCATTTGTTGTTCAAATCCCTGACTATCATTTCCAGAATGTTCTTAACACATCACACAATTCATATACTCCCTCTGTTCCCTTTTATAAGACGTTTAGAGAATTCAGACAGAGCACAAAACAGCTCAATGTCGGCTCTCCAAAACGTCTTATAAAAAGGAACGGAGGGAGTACTTTTTTGAAAAACATAATTCATATAATTGGATGAGCAGACAAATGAAAAAAAAAACTAGGTGTGGAAGGAGGGTGAGTACCTTGTTTGCAATCATCAAGAATGTAGGGATTACCATCATCAGAACTGCCAGAGCAGGTACAGGAGTAGCCTCCATTTGTCACATTCACACAATTGCTACTGCCACAGGCATACCGCGCCTTATCATCCGACCGAGCTTTAGCGCAATTGGGCTTATCTGTGATCACAGTCGAGAGGTACGCAGCAGAGGAAGCACCAACAGTGCTCGCATTTATCTTATCAGACAAAAGGTCCGCGATACGAAACATATACGGGCGGAATGACAAGAAAGCCTTGATGGTGATATTAGCAAAAGGCTGTGGTACCGTCTCGTTGTTCTTCACGATGGTCACCCTAAAGCCTCGGAACGCCACGGGGAAAGTGACGGTGCAGCAGCCCATGCCATTGCAGATCCCTCCACCTTCCGTCACGAGGAGCAAGCTCGCCATGGAGGCGCACTTAATCGTGCAGTGGCCGACGAGGTCACCCGTGTCAGGGTGGTACAGGTAGACCCCGATGCCGCAGCCGAGGAACCCCAGGTAGTTGTAGGTCGCGATGTTGAGGTTCCTCCCTGGAGACTCCCAAGACAGGTTGTAGGTGCCAACACCCGGCACCATGGGGATGGTGTACATGATGGAGGCAAGGACGGTTCCTGAAGGGAAGAGGCTGATCACCTGGGTGGTGGTGTTGCCTAGGAAGAGCTTGGGAGGCTTGGTGGTGGTGTCGCAGATGAGGTCGAAGCCGCGCCGGAAGCAGCCTGGCCCGACGCCGAAGGGGTACGAGATGCTCACATCCCCACAGGTTTTGGGGCAGTGCGCGAGGCTAGGGGCAGATGGAGGATCAGGGGCTGCAGATGCCACCTTGGTGTTCATGGCAGTGGGTGCCAAGCTCCACAACCACACCAACAACAGCACCAGCCGCATGCTGGCTAACAGAATTTTGTTTGTTGAACCCAAAAGGTGGGAGAGAATAGAGCACCCTCCCTGTATTGTGTAGCAGAAGCATATCAAAGATGTGATTTGCAGAGCAACCGGAAGACTTCACCGCTCTCTCCCGTGGGAACTCCGGAAGACTTTCGTGCGTATAATAAGTTCTAGAATGCATTGTCGACAACCAAGCGAAGCACGTCACGATAGATTTTGTCAAAAAGGAGAATAGGGAATTCCACTTGGTCATGAATTGGTGGTCTGCGTTCGTGCCATACATCAACATCTTGAATACAGGTTTGCTGACTTGTGTGGTCTTGTGCAAGACTTGCTGACCTCTGTTTTTTCTTGGAACCAACATCATATGTGAAGTAGCAATATTCATACAATTCTCGTTAACACAATTCATCAATGGAGGAGGGAACGCCACCTGTGCCTGGGTGACACAGGGAACAAGCTTGTGCAAGACTTTTTTGACTTGTGTTAGTAGTTGAGAGCCACTGGTGCACATGAAGGCGAGATGGACACGACGCCGATTGTGAACGCGCGACTAAATTGTCGATGCAGCATCAAAGACACATGAAGGTGAACAAGACTCATGTGACTTGTGCTAGTTGTTGACAGCCACTGTTGTGCAGAGGAAGGCAAGATTTACACGACGCAAGCGCGGCTAAATGTAGTCAATTTTGACAATTCAGAAGCATCAAAGCTGTGTTCAGACTTCATACCATACCGTGTGTGATCTGTGAACTTGTAGTTAAGGTGGAGGAGTATGTATTGATCGATGGAGACGCACCAGCATCATCCTGGCTAGGAAAGATCCGAGAAACTCAAGGGCCTGTTGAGTTGCGGCTCACGGGGTCAGTTCCTTGCACACATACGGGGAAACTATCAGGAAGAAGACAGCGATGGAGCTCTGCTCCTGATGTGTTCGGAGAAATTACCTGTGGCGGAGAAGATGCGGATGGTCATCCAAGAAGAAGAATGCGTTGGTCGCTGCTTGCTTGCGCCGTCGCCGAGAGCGAGCGAGCGAGGCAACACGAGCCCCGTCGCTGCTCCCGGCCGGCCGCGTTGCTCGGCAAGCCGCCGTTGCGGACGGAGGGGATACACCGAGCTATACCCGCCTGACTGAGGGGAGGCAGGTCGAGCAGCGCGGAGTGCTCCGAGCGGGAGAGGAGGCGAGCCGCTAACCCGGACGCTGGGCCAGCATCGGAGGAGGAGGAGGGGGAGAGGGGGACCCGCGCCTCGCCGCCGGTGGGCGCCGACCGGCGCGGTGGTCCTGCCTGCCCGCGAGCTGCTCGGCGGAATGCGCACGCGCGCGGAGGCTGGGCGAACAGTTTTTTTTTACACTATTCATATCTGATTTTCTCTTTTTTGTCTTCTGATTGTAGTTCGAATTAGGAGCTTAAACTTTTTGAACTTGTACATCAAAAAGATTCATAATTTTTAAACATGTTTTGTATCTTCAAAAAGATTGACCTCACATCACATAAGGACAGGTTCTATAAAGTCTTCCCCCCTCCCCCTTTCCATCCCTTCCAATTCGTCGTTTGTCGGGGCAACCTAGCCCCACAATGCATCCCCCTTCTGGGCCAGATATGTATCCCACCGCAGAAGCCCACACTGGCCATAGTGCCA